GAGAAGAGGAGAGAAAAAAAAATCGATAAATTAAAGAAATAAGAAGTGAAGAACTTTTTTTACTTTCACTTGGCAAATAAAAACATTCGAATGTTAATGATTCTATAGCTTCATGCTTAAATACATAGAAAGAAGGAAATCCCACCCATTTCAATGACGCTCACAATGATGATGATGATGATTTTGGAATAGAAAGAAGAAACTAACCCTAAAATATATTTATTCTATATATGTTGCTTGGTTGAGGGTTTTCGATTGCTTTGCTACCAGTCAGCAATCATTATTTTTGTTCCTTTCTTTATTATTTTGTTTTCTCCATCTCTTTCACTCTCATTTTTGTTCTAGAATTGATTGAAATAATATTATTTCATTCTCTGTAATTGTCAGAAAAAAATATCCCCCATACGCGTTGCTGTATAAGGGTACTTTATGCTCATTCAATGAGTCTATATAACTGGAAACATAATCAACCTTTCCAAAAATAATTCAAGGCTGTCAAACTACTTCTACGAATCATAAGGAGGTTAAAAAATGCAATGATGAGCATTTTGAAGTGGCCACTTTCGAGGGAGAATCATGCTATATCGTTGTTACGTCAGTCAATAAACCATTTCCGGACTTCTGTGCATACGCGCAACTCCACTTATACGATCGCTTACAAATAAAAGAAAAGAAAATAAGAATTGATTCAATATTTTCACTTCTTTTTTGTGTCCGCAGTCCACATTAGTTGGTGTATGTAGCATGAACAAAAGAGTAAAGAAGAAATCATTAAATAATGACGATGAGATTCCGTCTCATTTAAAATTGAATAATTTCATTCCTACATGTTGGGAATTAGATAGATTTTGATTGCTAAATGCTACATAAGATGGGAAATGAGGGACATGTCAATGATGATCAATGATGCGTACGTAATGAGGACGATTAACTAATTTGGGCGGTTACTTTGAATAACTACCTACTCAAAGATTCTTATCTCAACTTAACTCAGTTCCTTTTTTTTGCTTTTCGGAGATGCAATTTAGATAAAATTGAAAGTACGTGAAATGTTTTTGTGGATTTTGCATTCGGCTCTATTATCTTTTGTGCTTTGTTTGCTACACATATAGGACATATCTTTATCGAATCTAAATCTAGTTAGATTTGTTCTTTCACTCAATTTATTTCAAATTGATGAAATTGGCAATTTTGTATTTTTGGTATTCATGGGAACTGCTGAAATTGGATTTTCTGTGAGGATAGACAATTCCTTTAATGTTTTCCATTGTGAAAGAATAAATTTGAATTCTTGCGTGAAATTGATAAAAATCTTGTAAAGTAAAAAAGCTTTGACAATTTGAAATTCTTTTGAAGATTTTCTTTAACTTTAATAAATGTTTTGTTGGATTAGCTTTGCTATATTGCTAGGTTTCAAAATAAATTTCAGCAATAAGTTAAATTTTGATTTAAAAGCAGTTTAAGAATTCAAAAAATTCAAATTCAATTAAATGTATCTATTCATTCACCATAAAAGAATCAATGAACTCATCGCTAATAAAAAAGTATTTCTTTCATAAAAAGCCTCAATTAATCTAGAAAATAAGTTTCATTGTCTGAACAATATGATTCGTTGGCTGGTTAATTCATTAAAAGTGAAACAAGTCGGTGTGTATAAAGCATAACAAAAGGAAATTTTTTAAAATAATATTTTTACATCGTCATGAAGGTTTCTTTATTCATATTTCGCTAATCTCTCTCATACTCAACTCTTCAATGTTCAATACTAATATTTTTATTTTAAAATTTATTCATCATCATTCATTAATGTTTTTATTTTCCATTCCGTTTCAAGTAAAAAAAAAGAGTAAATAATAATAATGAAATAAATTTTTTATTCCTTTAGATTATTGTTGTGTTTTGTTTTGTTGATTGAGCGACGTTTCATCAAATATTATCTCAAATTTTATATAAATACATGTATGAAGGAATGAAAAGAATGTTCCTCTCTCATTCATTCATGTATAAACATGATATTTGTATTCAAAGCCTCCCAAAAAATAAAAAAATAGATGAATAAAAGCTAAAGCAATCGTTGTGAAAAGCATGATTGGAGAAGATATACATTTATATAAAGAATGAAACCGAGAAATTCTTAAAATAACAAGAAATACCTCAGAAAATAAACACAAGCTATTTCTCTCCTTACTTGGTTCTCGGGTTTTGATGATTCTGGTAAATTTTTCGGTGCAGAAGATGGCTGGAACTGATTTTCTGAAGCAATGTGTGATTTTGAGAATCACTTTGATTGTCTTATTGGTAGGGTGACCATCTGCGTAGTTTTACAACGGACAGTCCTGTATTTCAAAACCCTGTCCTGTATAAATTTTTAAATTTTGTTCCTGGTCCCGTATTTTTTTCATGAAAATTTCCGTTAATTTTCGAATTTTACTCTATGTCCTGTTTTTTTCGAAAAAATTTACCAAATGTCCTGTATTTTCATGAAAACTAGATGGTAACAATACTTATTGGTTATTACAACCTTAATAATCTAATTGAACTAGTAAATGCTTAGGATAAACTTTTAAATCAAATTTGCTTTATAAATTTTCAGTAAAATTTGGATTTCAATTCCAATTTAAATTTATTCATCTTAAATAGTGCAATAGTGTTACTGGATTACTTACTTACTTCCTTGGCTGGGGCTCACGTGGGCCCATTGCAGCGCATAGAGATCGTTTGAAGACATCTCTATCCTTAGAAATCTTCTGCCAGTTCGGGTTATTAAGGACGCTAGCGTCCTTTTCAACACATCCAATCCACGAGTTCTTTGGTCTTCCTCGTGATCTCTTGCCATCCATAAAGTCTAAAATATCGGATTAGTTGTGTTTAAATAAAACTTAATAAATTATCACTGAGTCAAATGCGCTTCAAACATTCATTAAATTAATATTGCAACTTCCAAACCATCTCGTGATGATTGTTACTTTCCTTTTGTCGCTCCCAATTCAATTAATTGTGTGAGGTGAAAATAAATATTTTTCTAAAATTTTCTCATTTCTGTTGAAAAAATGAAAATAAAAAAAGAAATCCATCAATTTTTTAGAATCACACAATCTCATGTGATTTCTTTTGAAACGTGACAAACCATATAATGCAGGACATTATCATAAGGATAGATTGGAGATATGAGATAAGATTTCCTTTTTTTTTTTCTTTCTTCGTCTCATTCAATTTATTCCTACATGCATACACAAGTGAATCAATATTGAATGGAAAAATAATCGAATTTCGGATGAATCTTCATGTGACATATACATGTGTGCATATGTATTCCGTCGGATTTAAACTAAATATTCAGTTGATGCCAATTACATTCCATTAAAACGGCAATTCAGGATTTTTTTTTTGTAAAGAAAAGAACAAGAAGAGTAAAAAAACATGAAATCGCATAATGTGAATGCATTTTAATGTTAAAGAGAAAGAAAATATTCGAAAAATAAATATTTGAAAGGGAAATATCAAAGAAAGCTGGATGGATGGATGGGAGAGAGAATGTATTTGAGAATTGTCTCGCAAAAAATAACACAGCAGAAAGAAAAATATTCTTGCTGAATAAATATTTGCACAACGAAATGTCCAGCAATTCTTTTTCCTTTATTCAAACAAACTTTTCTCATTTCTCAACATTTGCAAAAAAAAAATCTTTTATTGTGTATGATATTTATTGTTGTCATATCCCAAAAAATAAATGTTATGGATGATGAAATGAAAAAAATAATAATATTTTAAAGAAAAAAAACCCGTAAGAGTTCAATACTTTGTTGTTGCTGTTGATTTGAGTGAATTCTTACAAATGTTTAGGTTTGTGTTTTTAAGGAATCTGTTATAATTTTTTAAAGACTCCAACTCTTTAAGGTTTGATAGCTCTTCTAATGTTTACTATTCTAGTTCTAATTTAAATTGTTAATGATTTGAATCTTTCAACAATAAAGTTCAAAATCCTTTTCTTAAACCAACAATCCTAAATTGCGCAATTCCAATAAACTTCTTCATTATCGAATCAAATTGAAATAGAAACAATTTAGCAGAACTTTAATGCAGTTAACTTTAAAAACGCGTCATTGATCACGTAATTTCAATTATTCAATAAAAAATCCAAATGCATGTTCTTCCATTGTCGTCTAGTTCTCTTTATACGGTAATTTATTTCCAAGAAATCGAGATATCTCAAATGAAGTTGAATACAATAAACTTATTTATCAATAAAAGCGGCACACAAAAGAATATCGGAATTGATGAATGAAAAATTAGTTTCTATGAGAAAAATGAAATCATTCTTATGAATGAAACGTCCATTTTGTATAATTTAAGAATATTTAAATAATAATATATGTAAGAAAATATTAATGAACTCATGATGTGCATCAAGCAATTAGTAAATTTCAAACTTGAACGATAATATATGGATTTTTTTAAATATATATTTTATATTCTCATCTCAATACTTTATTTTAATTTTCTGTCAGGACTGCAATTTTAAAAGCAAACAAATGTCAGTGGATAAACTGACAGAAGGAATAAATAAAGAAGTGAGAAAGAAGACGAAAAAAATTAAAATTTAAGAGCATTTTAAATATTAGAAATGATTTTTTTCCAAGCAAAAATTTGTTTATGCAAATTTATTATAATTATGATGTTTCTGTACGAGGATCTTATTCAAATTTGTCTAGCAATGAACGAGTGATTTGCTAACCTTTACCATCATCATCATTATTGTAGTGCGTAGCTGAAGAAGGAAGAATTTTTTTGTTGAAAAAAAAAAGCTCAAGATAGAAATTGCTGAACATAATATTTATATATAAATACACACAGAGAGACATTATGAAGTCATAAAGATGATGATTATTTGAGGGCTCTTCTCAATGCCATTGAGTAGCAGAAGAAGCAAAGAAAATATATTATAAAAATAAAAATGAAGATTGTTGATAACAATTTTTTTGTGTTTATTCTATTTTCAGTTACAAGGTTAATGGGAGGATCAGCTGGTGGTTCAATGGGACATGCAATGTCTAATATGTCTGGATTGGCAGCATGTAATGTGAGTGATTCAAAACCGATGCAATTTCCACTTACGCAACGAAGAAAGCGACGAGTTCTATTCACACAAGCACAAGTAAGTATCATTGACATTCATGTTACTTTATCATTCATCGCTCATTCAGATGATAAAGGAATAAGATTTTTTTTTCATTCTTGTCTCGTGCTCAACACTTCTCATGTTTTTTTCATAATGTTCAACTTAAGTTGTCGAATGAGATGTTCTTCTACTTATTAAGTAAATATTTGCTATGAATTCTCTTTGCTTGACAGTTCTGTCCTCAAAAATATACATAATGAAGTTATTTTCAATTTTTTCATGTCTTAATTCTTATATTGTTAACGAGGAATGATCTGAGATTAGTATAAATGAGTATTATAACTTGAATCTAACCTTTGGTGAAGCTTGTTGGATGTGTTTAATCCATAGTTTGTACATTTTAACTCGCGTTCTGTTAACTTCCTAATTCAAGTTCAAAAATTGAATTGAAAAATATGTTTTATACTTCATTTGAAATTCAAAAATTCCATTAAAAAGATAAAGTTCAAAATCAAAGATTTTTTTCCAAACTAAGACTAAGACTAGCTCTTAAAAGCGCGTAAAACTAGAAGTTGCTAACTGAACAAATTCCAATAAATATAAGCAAAGTAAAGTAAACTAAACTAAGAAGTTTCTACGGTACAATGAAAATGCGATCTCTTCCATTTAAACGACAGTAGCAGCAAGACATTCATATTCGTTAGCAAATATTGATCAAGTAAACGTAATAAAATTGAATTAATGGGCTTAATAAAATATCACATACTTAAAATGTTAATAATATAACTCGATTTGTTTAATTGAGTGTCATTTTCGTAGTTTTTGAAGAGAGCTTTAATTTTGATTTTTTTAACACCTGCCATAACTTAGACGCAATCGAGCTCCTTGAGCGAATTTTAAGCCATAAGAGCTTTTTTTTGAGAGCTTTCAGGCCAATATTTCAAAAAATAATCATTGCCATTTTTGGTTGAACGACAGCCATCAAATTAGCGAAGAAAGTCTTTCCATTTACTTCCCCTTCGATCGATATATAGACGAAGCATTTCTTTCATTCATACCAATTTTGATGAACGCTGTCGTATTAGTGAAAACTTGGCATTTTAAGTGCTTGACAAACAACGATTCCATCTCACTCTCTTTTAATGTACACACAAATATATTCCTAGATATATTTTTTTTGCTCGCCTGCGTGACTGACTGACTTGCTTGCTTTAACTCTTCCAAAGCATCATCGTCAACAATTTTATTTTATTTTTGTGCTGAATTAGAAAGGAAAGGAGATAGAAAAGTGAAGGGAAAGCAAAACATACATTTTACTTATTGCTTTTACTCCTCTCGTCTATGGACTGACTAGGTATAGAAGAGAGGATGCATAGCGATCAATATTTACAATTAAATATAATAATATAATATGGCAAACGGCATTTATTTGTTTCGTTATTTTTATTACTGTTTATTTTGAACGTTTCTACGTACCCGATATTTCGAGTAGCTGTTTACCGAGCTGCCTTTTTTGTTTCTACTTACTCACTATCATCATCTATTGTACGTGGAACAGACGTGTAAATGTGTATTGATTTGCCAACATCTCAACTCATCTCATTCGATTAATTAGATTTTTATTGGATAAAGTTTGATGAATACTCGATGATCCGTCGGATAGATGATGAGCAAACAGTTAATAAGTGTACTAATAATCATCTTATTGTTTCTTTTTTTTCCACTCCTTATCATCTCGTCTATTTCTATTATTATAGGTATATGAACTAGAAAGGAGATTTAAACAGCAGAAATACTTATCAGCACCTGAACGAGAGCACCTCGCCAGCTTAATACATTTAACGCCTACACAAGTAAGTTAAAGATTCTCTTGATTTTCTGACAATTGTTTTTGAGCTTATTTTGAACTCAAAAAAAAATATTAAGAACTCTTCAAAAAATTTTAAACATCCATCCAGAAACTGACAATTGAAATAGCCCATTTTGACATTACCAATTTCCTGCTTCTTCCATCATTATCCTCAATATGACTCGATGAACTTGTAATGAAGTTGAATGCAAATACATAAACGCATCCTTCAAGTGCTCCCATCTTCATTAACATCAATGTTTAACCTTACTGCCATTGACATCATCGAATAATGACAGCAGTTGGATGTAAAATTGTGTTAGATGCATTTATAGAATGTACTTAACATTCTCTTTTGCATTCATAGCATTAATAATTTAAATGCATTACAGCTTGTTTCGCTTATCTTTATTTTTTTCTCGTTCTTTATGTGTGTCTTTTCTATCATTTGGTTCTGTAGATTTATGGGATGGGTACTTGGATATTATGATTGGTTTGATGATGGATAAAGTTGCAGTGCTGTTAAAGATCAGTCTTTTTTGCTGAATTCAATTCAGTGATAATAATCCTCAATTCAGCGCAATTCAGCGAATGTTTAACGATCAATCTAGCACTTTTTGATAAATTCAGCAACATTAACGTTTAATTCAGCGTAACGATTCAGCAATTCAGCTGCAACTAATGCATAACTTTATCAATTCAGCACTTATATCTTTGAGCAAATTTTGTAAATCTCAAAAATATTTGTACACAACTCTTTCCAACACATAAAAGTCATCGAAAGAAACTTCAATAATTAAGCAAACCTCTCTATTGTCTAATGCAGCATAACAAAATACATGTATAATATACACGGACAGCACTTGACTGCGTATGAATATGCAGTTATAAATTATTGATGACACTTTTTGCTGAGCTATTCACAATAAGTATTAATGTCTAAAAATGTGTAAAGTTTGCAGATATAAAAGATATGCAGAAGACAATGAGGAACATAAAAAAATGAATTTTTAAGAGCCTCATTCAATTATATACTTTAAAGACATCTCAATAGCTGTTTATGGAGCAAATATGTGCTCTCACAACTCACTGACGCTTCTTCTTTCACAATTATTTTACTTTCTTTTATATACATCGTAGACACAGACATGAGATGTACATACATGATGAGAATATGATAAAATTTAGTTTAATTTAATTTGAGCTTCACGTCTGACATGATGAAGAAATATAAAAAAATTATTTTCTTTCATTTTATTTTGATAGTTGACGTTAGTTGAAGGGATAATAAGACAGTTGATGTATGAAACGCAAATTAGACAGTGATTAAGCAAACGTTTAACGATTATCAACTTCTAGTCATATTTCTCTGGTGTTTAGAGGTTAAATTGTTTATGCGTGAGAATCATTGGATGAGGAATTGAGTTTTATATGCAATTGAAGCGCATTTTAGGGGATTGTGTGTATAGTTCTCGCTGAATACTGCTGAATAGAGCCTTACTTAGCTCAATAATGCTGAATAGTACTGAGTTTAATTGAACAGAACCGAATAATGCTGAATAGTGCTGAGTTTAATTGAACAGCGTTAAATACTGCTGAATTAAAATAAAACGCACAGAATTGAGCCAAAATATTCAAAATTCAGTAATATATTGTCAAAACTTTATTAATTCCTGCATTCTCTTGACCAAAGAGGCTCACAGCACATACCATCACATTGTAAAACACATTAAAATTGATGTAACTAATTGCTGGAATGACTGGTGTAATGATGATGATGAGAAAAAAGAATTCCTTAACAAAAAAATATTATCTTTTAATAATTTTCTTTAATGCAAGAGATTTAATGAAAGACAAACAAAGGAGAAAGCTTAGAAAACGGAAGGAAAAATGGACACACAAAAAGAAATTAAAACTGAAAGGATAGAAAAAATATTGACTTTATAAATTTTTGTTTTCCTTCTTTTTCGTCTTTTTTTGTTGTTGATGCTGCTGTGTGTTCCTTACTGGACCATAAGGGGATTAGAGCATCCTATAATAATAGGATTTTGACTACTTTAGTTAACAAAAAATTATTATTTTTTATGATGAATTTTTTTGTTGATTCCATTAAAAAGTTTTTGTTCGAATTTCTATATGCTGCATACGCACATGTAGGAGATTCAATATTTTAACAGCAATTGAAACTTATCAATTTTGTAAAATATAAATTCATTTTTGATTATAATGAAAAAGTTTTTATTCATCAAATTTTTGCATGATTTTCTATATTTTAAAACACAAATATTGATAAATCAATTGACGAATATTGCCAAATGTTAAACCATAATAAAGTTTTATGCTTCACAAATATTTTTGAACTGAGAATTGAAATATAAAATTGAAATTTTTTTTAAAAAAACTCTAGATAATAAACTGTAAATGGACTTTAGTTTTTGATCACTTGAGCATTAAATTTTATTAAATCGATTTTTAAATTTTAAAAACTTTGAGGACTTGAAAACCAACCCAAAAAGGCATAAAATTATTTTTTTTGTATTGAATTTTATAAAGGACATTTGAAATTCAATTTCTACGAATATTATTCTGCCTAAAATCCTGCATAGTTCCAAAAATCAAGTACATATACAATGCATTAATAAATAAGCCTCCGAAAATCCATGATCTGAACAAAAAAGGTATAAACAAGCTACATATTCCTAATATTTTCCAATCGATTACACTTTCGATCCCATAAAAAATAGAATAAGCGTAGAATATTAGTAAGTAAGTAATGTAACTAAGAGAATAATGAATGAACCTGCATAAATCTTTTTAAGTGAATAATGTACAATAACAACAAATCTCGATAATCCGTAAATTATTCTCAATCTTTTCATCATCATCATCATTTTTTTTACATCCATTCAATCTTCTTTGTAAAGGCATAAAGAGAGATTCTTTTATGCATGTAAAAGAAACCTCAAACTTTTCCCACAAACAACATAAATAGTAATAACTTGACGACAGGATACCAATAGGTCAATGCTTGCAGAAAAGGAACCTGCATGTGTTTTTACGAGAAATTTTGAAGAAAAAAAAATTTAATTCACAAAGTTCAATCAAATGTGAAAAATTTATAAGAATTATTATTTGCCTAAATGGATTTCAATCAAAAAGGAGATGGAAAGTTCTTTGAAAGAATGCATTTATGTGGAGTTATGAGTTAGGAAAGTGTTTTAAACGAATTTTGCTTCACTGATGCTAGCTTTTGCTTCATTAGGAGATGCGAGATAAGTTTGCTTTTTAATGAGATGCGAATTCTTGAATCTTCATGTGATGCGACTTTCTGCTTCTACATGTGATCCATAAGAGATTCTGATTTTTCGCATCCCAAATGCTTCTTAAATTAAGCCAATAAATAATCTCAATAATGAAATTAAGAGGATTAGAAGCTTTATAAGATTTTCATAGACAAACTGCACTTCAAAAATTATTCTTATAGATTTCACACCACAAGATCAAGCAGTTCTTTTTTATCCAGTTCAGATAATCTGATTTAGTTTTCCTTTTTTATTGATAGCTCACAATTGCCAAAGTAAACATTTATTTGCCGTATATTTGGCACCCCGCGTCTTCATTCACAGATTCCTTTTCATACTTCATCATCATCTTCGACAGGAGTGCGAGTGTATTAAATTCACATCACAGACGCTCCTGTATAGCAATACAACAACAAAAAAATCGAAATCCTTAAATATAAATTTCCGATTAGGGGAAGTGGGATAATAATAAATAAAAAGTGGAATTTTATTATGTGCGTGCATGTGAAATTTGAATAAATTAACCCTCGATCCTTCCTTTTCTGTATCAACTGACGACAGCATTAATAATGTGTACATACAATTGAAAATCTCTATATCGAATGCAACATTAACAAACATACGTAAAGAGAGCTGGGATAGGAAGGAAAGAATTTTTCACACTAAACCGAGGGCAGGAAGGAAAAAAAAATTGTGTTTGTGATTGTGTGCCTCAAATCGTTTAATAATAGACGAAATCTGTTTTTTAACCATCTCTACCAGAAAACATTGCCCTACGGCTTTTTTTTTCAAGCCATAACAACAACAGCAGCACGCATCATTTAATCGAGAACAATATGTGTATGTAATTCCTGAACATAAACATATAAAGCAGCTATTTATGTTTGTGTCGTTGCTGGCTTTTGTTGAATGGTGCAAAAAAAATTCGATTTGAAGGAAATTCAATGTTATTTTTACAATAAACTGGAACTAATTTGATCCCACTTTACTGATAACATTGAGAACAAATTTTCTTCTTCTTCTTCTTCTTTGTGCCGGGTCGTCTATTGTTCAATGTTTACCCTCCTAAAAATAACAGCAACAATAATCGGCTTCTTATTATTTTCTCTTCTGTTCTTTATGATGTAGTTAATCATTATTACATTACAATTTACTGGCGGTTCTTCTGGTTTTTTGGAATAGCATGTATCATGATGCTATTTTACCAATAAACAGAAGGCGGTTGATCGACGTACTATACGCCTATGGGCAGGAAATTCAATTGTCGGTTACTGTCGATATTGATACTTCAATTAACAGTTTTTATTTTTTTATTTTTTATTGCTTTAGGTGAAAATTTGGTTTCAAAATCATCGCTACAAGTGTAAGAGACAGGCAAAAGAGAAGGCAATGGCAGAACAGAATCAACATAATCAAGTGAGTTTTCAATTCTCAAATTTATACTTTTGATGTCAATTTATGATTAAAGTTTTCTTATTATCATCTCTAAAGTCATCGAGCTCACCGCGTCGTGTTGCTGTGCCAGTGTTGGTGAAAGACGGAAAGCCATGTTCTGGTAGCTCAAATTCGACACCTGTTCAACAGCAATTGACGTCAAGTGGATCAACAATCGGCAACTCATCATCCAATACAGTAAATTTAATTAATGTTGTTAGTGCAGGCGTTGGAAATAACAGCGAGACGGTAACATCAAATAACCAACATTCACCAGTCGATTCACCATCAACAACAATATTAAGCAGTTACAATGGAAGCGGAGGACATCAGCAAATGCTTCAACAGCCATGCAATAATACATTAATGTCAAATAGCCTCGCGATGGCATATAGAAATCAAAATAATTTCATGGGCAATAGCCATCAGCAACAGCATTGCGGTAGTTATCTGCCACTTCAAACTAGAGCTTGGTAATATCAGGGGAAAACATGGTGGGATAATGCAGCCTCTTTTAAACAGGAACGAGACGATGATGATAATGGATAATGGTTATATTAAAATTAAATTGATGATGCAGACATGTAGACACATTTGATTCGATTCCTGAATTATTATCTTAAACAAAAAAAATCTTCTGTAGAAAATAAGATGATCGTCAAGAGTACTAAACTGTAAGATGAACGAGCATATAAATGAAACTTGAAGCGACGATATAAAAAGTACAATTAATTTACTACATAAACGTTCTTTAATAATCCCCCTCATCTCCCCCTTTTTCTCTTATAATCATCTACGCTAACATAACATCGACATTGATATGCAATAGAAAAGAATGAATCTTAATCCTTTTAATCTATCTCTAGTGTATTATGATCATATAAATAAAATGATGAGAATTGCTTCAGGATACAAAAAAAAATCAATTTATTAAAAAGAAAATGGATAAATTTAAAATTTGTGTCAAATTGCTGGTTCTGCAATTTTTAAATTTTATATTAACAAATGTCCTGTGAATTAAGAGAAAAAATTTAAAATCCACAATTGTAATTTAGAGAATTTGAACTTTTTGGCGCGAAAAATTGTTAAAGTGGACGAGATTGAGGGGATGTCAACTTTAAATTTTATGATTTATTTAAACTTGTCACATAGCCGTAGATCAACGAACAATTTTGTCTTTATTATTTGAAATTTTTGATTAGAATGATGCAAAAAAGTTGAAAACCCCTCAATTTAAAATTCAAGACGAACAATTTTGCCTTTATTATTTGAAATTTTGACTAGAATGATGCAAAAAAGTTGAAAACCCCTCAATTTCAAATTCAAGACGAACAATTTTGCTTTTATTATTTGAAATTTTTGACTAGAATGATGCAAAAAAGTTGAAAACCCTTCAATTTAAAATTCTAGATGAACAATTTTGCCTTTATTATTTGAAATTTTTGACTAGAATGATGCAAAAAAGTTGAAAACCCCTCAATTTAAAATTCAAGACGAACAATTTTGCCTTTATTATTTGAAATTTTGACTAGAATGATGCAAAAAAGTTGAAAACCCCTCAATTTTAAATTTAAGAAATTGATAGAAATTCAAATGTAAAGAATCCGTTGAAAGTTTAAAATGCAAAAATCTAGTAAAATTTAACAGTTTTTCGATTCCAAAAATTTCAATTCCCAAAAACGAATCATTGCAAAAATGAAATAAAATGATTTTTAGGCAAATTAAATTAAATGCAGGGTAAATTAAACTTAAAATTGAGACAGTAAAATGTTTGAAATAAAAGAAAAAAATTTTTTTGGGTAAATTAATGAATATAAAAATAATATTAATAATATTAATAACTGTAGCTTTTAATTTAAAAAAAACTAGAGTCATAAGAATGGAGAATTGAAGTTAATAAAATAATGAGAAAAAATTTCATAATGATGTAAATATTATGAATAAAATAATGAGAGTACACAGGCATTAAAAAATTACACATAAACACTGTAAATAAGCAAATTTTCTCTGACTTTTGGACTAAAGTCATTTAATTAAAATTAAAAAATGCAACAGTTTAATTATGTAACAATTTATAAATTAAGTTTTCTTTTTTTTTAATAGTGCATAACAATTTATTAATGCAGAACATAATAACACAATTCACAATGAAAAGTTTAGTTAAAATATGGTAAAAATTGTAATTTTACAGAAACTCTGAAAAACAACAAAATGAAAATAAAATGGAAAAAAATTATTAAGGAAAAATTCTCTTTGTATTCGTAGTCTTATTTACTGACAGAAAAGATCATGCAAACAATCAATTTTCTGCTCACTTCCTCTAACCTTTCATGAATAAATTCCTTGTAATTCCCCTTTTTTTTATTGCTGAATTTTCATTTAAAATTCATTTTCTTAAAAACATTTTTCTTAAGTGCCATCTTGAGTCACTGAAAAAAAGGGGTTGCTTAAAAATTTCCTTCTTAGACGCTGTTAGGTATGCATGGAAAATATTCAAACATTAGTTTAGTTTAATATTCATGAAATTTTTTACTCCCTCTGATTATTATTTTGTGCAATTTTCTACGCTTAATGATATGCACTTTTGATGATTTGACTGACTGGTTCAACTGGATTTTTCAAAAAGGGTATTACAATAAATTTAATGAAGACTGTGGAACAACTCAAAAGGATTAATGAATTTTTATAGAGTAATTTTTTTAATAAACTGTTCATTTGTAGTGGATAGAAGCATAAATCTGGATGTTCTTGATTAAATAAAGGTTCTCAGTAAAATTCTTCAATATTCTGAATTCCAGGACAATTCTCAAAAATGCGCCTTAAAGCATCAAATACAGCATCACCAACTGCTGAATATTTTTCTCCCAATTAATTTTTTTCGTAACCAAAATAATGAGAAACACATCACAGCTCCTTGTGCTATTGAATTCTTGCGCATATCGCACATTAAAAATCTGCATTTATTGTTAATGGAAAATTAGTTTCTTTAGTTCGAGCAATGGAACCATGAAAAAGACATTGAATGAATGAGATACTGAACGCAATTAGGCGGTGACAGACTTCAATTCAAAACCTCTTCCTTTGTATGTAAGTCAACCATTTATCTATCTATATCTAGACATTGTGGATTGTGTATGAAATGCACAAACAATATGGAATTCCACGAAAAAAGTCTCTTTCTCTTATTTTTGGTTTGTTGACTTTTGGAAATAACAACAATAATATTAATAATAATATATGTGAAATTTTCTATTGGAGACTCCAGGTAGGTCCAATAGAAGAGAAAAAAAAAATAGTTGATAAATAGAAAATATAGAAATAGAGAAGAAAAGGAGGAAAGAGATGTGGAAATAATCAAAAGTCATTGTTTGAGAACGAAAGATTGAAATGGTGTCGAAAGTCAAAGATGATGACAGCAGTAAGAAATAAAATACACACAAATCAGAGAGAAGGAAGAAATGAAACTAAATTGCTGGAGAATATAAAACCATCTCCGTCTTCGTCTTCTCTACAGCATGTTATTTTACGCGAGAAATATGATTCAGCAGAAAATTATATTCAATAATATGTATGAACATACATTTGCCTGTCAGTTCAGGCTCATTTTGATTTTATTTGCTCACATTCAATAAACATTACACATTGCTTTTATATCTCTGGCATTTTTGTGAGATGCAGGAATCATCATTGTTTGTTTTGATGGAATGAGAATATTTTAAATTTTTTTAACTCATTCTAATTAAGGTCATTTGAATTAATTTTAAAGAGAATCAATTATTTTGGTTATGACTCGACTTCTTTTATAATAAATTGACCATCAAGGGAATCGGAATGCTTCCCTAAAGTTATCTTTAATTATTTCGAGATTGAATTGAATTGAAAAGGTTCCCTCACAAAAATTGATTCGCATAATTTTCAAGGTAGGATTAGGAAGAAGTTTTGAATCATTTTAAGATAGAAGCGCATTTTTTAAATTTTTTACTTGAATTTTCCTAGTGAAGGTTAACGTGGTTGAATCATTCGTGATGAACTGTAGCTTAATTAGCTTAATTAGAGATTCCTGCACTAAGAATATACATGAAACTAGGTTATACGACAAATAGGCTGACCTAAGTTGCCAAATACAGCTTATCCGATGAATATGTTCATTAGAAAACATCCACAACAACAACCCAACCCAATATGAACTCTTTCTACAAAAACATAGCTCACAATTCCTGAATAAAATCAACTGACTGACTGCACATGTCAGACGGAATTTGAAAAATAATCCAAATATTGTTCCGATTTAAAAGTCATTTAAATATTTGATTTCAGCTTAAAATATTTTTTTATTTTATTTCTATTGACTTTTGTCATAACATATTCCATACAAATTGCAAAGAAATGGAAATTTTTCATGATACACGTGACCAAAAAAAAATGCTTATTTATGCTGTTGTGTAAAAAAAATTTTAATTGGAAGTTGAGAAAAGGCAGGCAGGCAAGCAGGGAGGAGGAAGAAAAACAAAACTAATGATAATTATAATGTACAGACATACATGCACAATGATTTTTGTTTGTTATAATTGTTGAAGTTGTTGCCAAGTGCAAAATCTCTTCTTAATATTAGATTTGTGCATGTATACGGGAGGCCATTAAGAGTTACCAATTTATATCTGTCCAGTCAAGTGCCTTCAAAGTCTATAATCATCTAGCTCTGTCTTCTAAAAGCCAATGTAAGCAATTATTTTTCGAAAAAAAAAAATCCCAAAGTCATTTTAATTCATACGAAAAGCTCATCATCTTTGAAGGGATTTGTATTCAAGCGTGTGTGTTCATTTTTAGTGTGGATAAAAAGAAATTCCAAGAGTGGATTTTCTGCCTGACTCGACCACACACAAATCATCATCACCTCACTTGTAAGATTATAACAATTTTATTTTTTCATTATTATTTGCTCTTTGCATTAAAATCAATGATTATCAATTGCTATTACTGTTGTTTTGGAGCATGTACACACATTTCAAGTATGATTCATGCATGTAGGTATGTACATATGATTTTATAGTGGTTTTATTATTCAATTGTTTTGAACTTTTTTTTTTCTTCTTCTTTATTCATAAAACGTCACATTCAATAATATCATCAGGTATGAAATAAATACGAAAAAAAAGTAAAAATCAATATCCACTCGATCGTCTTTATCCACATTGTCATTGTTGATTTCGAGAGGAATTCTCTCCTCGACAAAATAATCCTTCTGATATGTCAATCGATTTTTTATTCTGTACATATATTGCCATTGTTATATTGCATATATACACGTAGACTCTTTATCAATCTTACACATGAACTTCATTGAGATTTTTATTTTTATTTTATTTATTCCTTTTCTTCATTCAATCTTTTGATATTATTTGTCAATAGTTCTTTATGATTATGAATTTTGTAGTCATTCTTTTCAGTCTGGTTGGACAGTATTTGGTGGGGGAAGC